ACCACAACTCAGGTAGACACCTGAGATGGCAAGCCTTCTTTGCAAGCTTTAATTGCGAAATAAAATACATGGAAGGCCACAAGAACAAAGTGGCAGATGCACTTTCACGGTACTACGACTTGTCAACAGATGAGGATCTGCATATCGATGACTACATGTCAGTGGATATCCATCTGGATAAAAATGCAGAAGACATTATCCCCAACAGAATCGAGGAATATGAAGAACTGCTGCTAAGCAGTACCCTGAGTAAAAACTCAGAGAAAAAGAGACTTGCAGCAATACATGTGAGAAATACCCTAGAGGAAGCTCTAGGGGGGAGTGCCCAAAACCTGGAAGAAGTCATAATTCCAGAAGAGAACCTTTGAAAACAATTCAAAGGAAAAGACCTCATTGAGGCAATAAAATCTGGATATTTGCAAAACCAGATCCACTGGGAAATCCTAGAGAACCTGGGGAATTTCAAAAACTTCTCCATAAAGACAGACTGATAACCCAACTTGGAGAAGGAGGAATGACCCAAATAGTAGTCCCAAAAGGGAACTATGAAAGGAAGTCCATTTGAGGAATAATCCTTGAAAACATCCACAAAACACTTGGACACTTAGGATCCAAGAAAACAGTGGAAACCCTCCATCGATACTTCTGGTGGAAGTTGATGAGGAAGGACACCCACAAGTTCTGCAGGTCTTGCGGAACTTGTCAAACAACAAAGAAAAGCACCAGGAGAAATCCTGGACTGCTTCACCCACTCCCGACCCCAGAAACACTGTGGTTGTCAATAGCCATGGACTTCACAGGTCCATTCCCAACAAGCTTGGATATGATTACCTCTGGGTAATCATCTGCAGGTTGACGTCCAATGTCCACCTAATTCCAATAAAAACAACAACGAACACATTAGAACTAGTGTTCGTATTCCTTTGCGAAGTTGTAAGACTTCACGGTCTACCACACTCGATCATATCAGATTGAGACTCGAAATTCACGTCAAAATTTTGGTGCAAACTACACCGAATACTCGGTGTGCAGTTGAAATTCACAACTGCATTCCACCTGCAAGGTGATGGCCAAGTGGAAAGAATGATACAAAAAGTAGTACAGATACTGCATGCGATGGTCAGACCAGATCAACACGACTGGTGTGAGGTCTTTGGGTAGCTCAGCACACAAAGCCGTAAGTGATACAAGTATGTGTATTTTACGGTGGTGTGTAAGCAGTTACCCAGAGGTTCCCACTTACCCACGTGACTATATGTATCTAATTTACATATGACTCGGGGTTTGGGGCTATTGCCCTGACATTCTCCCCCCTTGTGTTGCATTTGCGACGCATACAAGGTTGATAGTGAAATAAAACAAATTTTTAATAATTGATTTACATTGAGTTTGGAATTGTCAATGAGTGTTTTTTGTTGTCGCCACTTTAAAGTGGGCGATTTTATACATGTCGGTGAAGGAGAGAGGGAGGGTTTAAGAAATAAATGAGTGTGGGCCGTTACTTTGAAGTGAACAGCGATACATGGGTATCGCAGGGAGAAAAATAGTGGAGTTTGTCGAAAGTGAATTTCGACCCAAAGGTTGTATGTCTTTGGTGTTCCTCACTTGTTCCGTGAGGGTTCGTGTGTATGTGGTGTTTACACACGAGCAGTGGTGGATGTGGGTCTTTTGGCGGAGTGGAGATTTCCGCAATTGTTACTTGCAGTTCCTCGCATACAGTATTGTGTGCGGGCCCTCGAGTTGGGGGAAGGTGTTTTCACGGGCGCCTCGATGGCATATTACCGTGTCACTTTCCCTTTTCTCAAGGGTGGAGTCATTGCCCCGGAGGAGGGTTTTCCTCCGGGTTGTTCATCTGGACATTTGATTGCTGCATCGGATGCGATGACATAGCCTGGGCTACATTGTCGGGCTGTGGGCTTGACGAAGTGGGCGCTCCCTGGGTGGGAGCGTGTTGTTGTGTTCCTGAGCTACTTGGCTCAGGTGTGGAGTATGGTAGGTCTACCGTTCTTCCCGTGGGGAAGGGTGGTCGTTGGACTGGTTGTCCAGTGCAGAGACTTGCGTCTCTTTCCCGGTATTTGGAAGCTTTTGCTTCCCGTTCTGCAGTTCTTGCGGCACGTTCCTCGGGAGTCCTGAGTGGTTTGAACTGGGACTTTAGATAGGCGGCTTTGCCTAGACTTTCCCAGGAGATTTTTCCCTTATTCTCCGGGGAATTATACTCCTCCGTGAGTCTTGCAATACTCGGGAGTCCCAAGAAGTATTTCTCAGTTTCCTTCGCTTTATCGTGAAGGGTTCTGTGTACCTTGCCGCTTTTGAAGGCGGCTTTGGCCTGTTCGTACCAGTGTACGAATTCTTTCCCACTCACGCTTGTCCACCAAGTGTATGTGGCATTGTGCACCGCTTCTGACCCCGCTATTCTCCTCATGGGGAAGTTGGGGTCGAATGTTACGTCGACTGGAGCTTCGACTTTGCCGAACTCATTGAGTTCGGCGGTCTCGTATAGCATGTGGACACTTCCCTGCAGGGTAGCTTGCCCATAGGGTGCTGAGGTACTCAGCGGCCCACCACCTCTGGCAGTGGTCCCCGTTTTAGGGTCTGCCATCGGTTGCCTACCGCTCTCCCTCTTCCCCTCGACATGGGTTTGCCCTTCTGAGGCGGGCCCTTATGCAACCCGGACAGGGTCGCCTGCCCACGGGGTGGCGGGATAGTCGGTGCCCCAGCACCATATCCCTCCCCCTGACCTGGGAGGCCCCCGTCATGATGGGTTTGGCAGCGAGGTCTGCCAGTGCGCATGCCTCTCTGAGCTCGCGTTTCAGTAATTCGATCTCCCTTTTTTGGAGATCGACTTCTCTCTCTGTGTCTTTCAGAGAGTCGAAGATGCCCTCAGCATCTCTTCATGCTCTGTTGTATTCGCACCTCCAGTGGGTGCAATGGTCGCAGGCATCTTCTGACACCCTCGAGTTATCAGACCATGCCTGTTTGGATGGTCTGGACGAGGAGCCGCTGTCGCTCCCTCGTCTCCCTCCTACGAGGGACTTCATTTCTTTCAGCTCCTCGCAGAGCTGACCTGTCTGAGCAGCTACCGCTGACGCGATGGCTGATTCCCAGCCTGCATTTGGCTGGGGTGTTGTTGGACCTGGGCCGAATTGGCCGATCCAGGGGTTAATCTGGCCAGGGAAGTTCCCTGGGGAGTATGCCTGGGGCTGCAGCAGCAAATGCTGCCCCTGGAATGGTGCTTGTTGCGCCATCGGTGCAGTTTGCACCACGTATGGTTGGAAGCCCCTCTGAGGAGGCTGAGGGTATGTGGTGCCTGTTAGCAATGCAGATGGTTGTTGGTTTGCAGCACTCATTTGTGCTGCGTGCATTGTGTAGTCCATGGCGCTTATCTGCGCCTGGTGTTGTTGTTGTTCCGGGGAGCCTTGCTCCCCGGGTTGTCGTATTTCGATGTCCAGTGGCTTGTTTGGATCGAACTGAGGGTTGCCTCCCCCAGAGAACAACATTTCGTCGTTATGTTTCTTGTGGTGGTGGGAGGGGTTTTCGTTCTTGCATGCATGGGATTCGCTGCAGTTGTGTGTTCTTTTGCATGTGAGCCTGTGGTTCACGTGGTCTAGGCGAGTTACTTGCCTAGCCCATGTGATCTCTAGTACATGGTGTGGCTGTCCGGGCGAGTTACTCGCCCAGAACTTTCCCACGCTCTTGGCTGTGGGCCATCGTCCCTCGGCTTTACTTCCTCCGCCTCCGTTTTTGGGGGTGTAGTGATGCCGAGAGTTCCCTGTCTTCTTTGATAGGGAGTTTTTCTGGTGTCGCGGGGTTAACGGAAAGGCGGGCGATAACCCAGAAACGGAAAGGAGGGATAGGCCCGAAGGTGGGCTCTGCAGGGCAGGCAAGTGTATTGCCCAGTGGAGGCAGGAGTGCACTAGCGGACATCGGAGCTGTCCGGAAGTCTTCGGGGCTCCGTACTTAGGGAGGCATAGGTAATAAATTGAAAGGAGGGGGTGGTGACCATCGAGGGGTACTGAGAGGATTGCGGAATACGGGAGCTCCGAGGTTAGTAAAGAAGGAGCGGAGGTAGACCGGAGGGATCGGAGGGGCCGGAAGTCGATGGCCAGGAATGGATATGACAATGTACTTGATTGTTATGTTGAGAATGGGACATACAATCGCAAGCCGAACTTGGACAACAAATACAAATAATGGTTCAAGATCTATACCACTTGGATTAATGACTGGGTTTCACAATTTGGTGGGGCTGCCTGGGAGAAAGTGGCAAACAACTTTACATCAGATGTCCTGTGAGTACTTCTAATCTTCCTACATACACCCCCCTCATTTGAATTCTTCTGTCACCCTGTCAGCGACGAGTATGATCAAAACAGTTTGCTCAACACCCCATTGCCGATTCTCGATACTGATGGCGACATTGATGACTTGTGAGGGTGGGATTGAGGTGTGGGGATTTTGGCAACTTTTTAGGCCTGTGCCATCATGCAAACCCTCCCTTTCTTCTTCCTTTCCTTAGAGTTCATTTCCACCTGTTCATAAAAAAAATGTCCGCAACAATACCATATTTTGATTGCATGAATTAGGACAAGCATCAAAGCCTATGAAGTATAGAAGCCACAGAAGTGCCAGGAGTGCGTGAATCAATAGAAGCTCCAGGAGCGCAGGAATCACGAGTATGGGTTGAGCGGAACCAGGAGAACTGGGAAAACTGCCCAGGGCTCCGAAGTGATACAGTCAGAAGCTTGATTTCGAAGTGGGCGGACTGAGAGACCTTTATTAAAACGGATCAGTTGGTTTGCCTGCTTCAGATGACTCAGATGGCTAGAACCCACGAGACTGCCCGATTCCGATCAAGGGAATTTGCTGATGTGCCTCTGGCCCGAAACACAGTTGATGCCTAGCTCCATGGCCTGACTCGGATGACATTGCCTTCTCTATCAGGTTGCCGCTATTTTCCGTGGTAAAGTGAGCATGAAGGAAGTCGAAGACCAAATGCGGATCATCCAACAGAAGAACTCTGTGGAATGGATCCCTAATAACATTCTCACTGCCAAATGTGATATCCCTCCTCGTGGATTCAAGATGTCTGCTACTTTTACTTTTATTGATAATTCAAGAGCTGTTCAAGCGAGTCAATGAACAGTTCACTGCAATGTTCAGTCTTTCACACGTCCACATAGGCGGAAGGCTTTCCTTCATTGGTGTGCCCAGGAGGGTATGGATGAAATGGAGGTGAGGAATCCTTTCCCCCCCGTTACGTGTTTAACATTTATAAAACTTCATGGGCTTCGTAGTTCACGGAAGCGGAGTCCAACTTACAATACTTGGTCGCTGAATATCAGCAGTATCATGATGCTGCCACGCAGGTCCTCACATGAACTAAGGAGAGTTCACGTATCCAATTCTAGTGTTGAGGAAGAAAGGGAGTATGGGGAGGAAGCAGCCTAATAATAATCAGCACCTTTGCTCTGTCTTGTCCTGAAGTTCACAGGAACTCCCTTGACTTTGGATCTCTGTTGAGAAGCACCCCTCTAGCCTCATCTTCAACTTCCTTTGTTTCGTTCCTTTCCTGCCAATTGCCCCTGTTATCAGTGAGCATATCTTGAATCCCCACACCAATATGATCAGTTCTATACGTCCTATCACTTTTTTTAGGACCGGATCGGAATAAACCTTTGTTTACCTTTCAATCATGTCATACTTTACAAAGGTAGTGATAAGCCGAACACATTGTGCAAACGAATCGGAGCAATTTCGACGAGTTTTAAAACCAACAATCCCCAGAGCACAATGAACTCTCGCACCCCCAGTGGATCCCCTTTCACGACTCCATGGCCAAAGTGAGGCGCAACGTACATGTCGCGCAGGCGCATACCGAGTAATACATTCACTCTGGTCAAAGTCATGCCCAGAAGAACATAGGCCGAATAATCCAGGGAGGGCACAGAGCTAGATTCTCCGAGAATGCTTGCCTCATCATTTCCTATGATAGACCAACTTCATAACATCCTTGCATGCAATATATTCATCCATAAAGGCTCTTATCGTTGATGTAATCGCCTTCCACCTTATGTGGCAGTGGACACAATCTACCTGTTGCAGACGAGGTCGGTCAGTGCAGTGACAAAATACTGTTCTAGTGATGTTGAATGTTGGGATGTGCCCAGACTCCTGCAGCGGAGACAGTACAGCGGTGCTATGTTACAGAATGATCATCGTGTGGAGAGGCGGTGTCAAGTTGGGGATGTGGGATGTTGCGCATTTGCGCCGCGTACAGTGTGTTGCCGAAACGGCACCATGGTAATCCGACAAAGACATTACCAATTTGATGGAAAGATCGGTGGCCGACATCACCCGCGAATTATGTAAAGTAGGAAATTAAACCTCAATGTTATTGAACAAACATATTACATACACAAGTTTCTCACCATACAGGAGGTGTTGTACAGTGGCTGGCCAACTTCCTAGGGGTGCTGTTGTTGTGGAGAACATCTTTTAGTGCAGCAACAAGCCACAAACTGGTGCCACATATACAGCGCAGTTGGCTTGTCGCGAGCGGGCCGGAAGGTAGGCTGTAGCCGGAAGGAAATTAGTATTTCCATGGCTTTACTTTGGCGCTGACCGGGATTGTCATCCTATCCGCTACGAGCCCTATTGAGATACTGAAATCTCCTATAAAGCCTCTAAAGGATGGTCCCCCCCTCTTTCTCTAAGCCCTCCACTTAACACCGAGGTTAGAAGTCTATAATTCATGTGGCCCTACATAGCTACTCACCAACATTACCTACTGGCAGGTCACAATGCGATTCTGGAATGCCTTGGTTACAATCGCTATACTTCCCATCGTCACGGCTGATTTCCACCTTGGCCTTGTCACTTCTAACGTCTTCAGACGAGGACACGGCAAGGCTCGATATTGGACAGTTCTGCTCCCATCGCAACATGGTGAATCGAAGTCATGCAGAGAAGAAAATTCCTCCTGTCTAACCAATGATTTTCCTAACACTGGCAGATGGTTGCCGTCAGGGATATGCCTTGCAGCCTAGGCATGATACTGGCCTGGACGAGGTGGCAGTTAGGCAGGATATTGCTGGCCAGAATGGGGTGGCCATCCAGCTTGGGTCAATAGAAAACGTTACACTTTGCGGGCTCCGCGTTACGGTTGACCCTACACTTGACAGGTGGTTCACCTCAAATGGAAGTGGAAGTTGTTACCCAACTTATCCGGGTACCCCCTACATGCATTATGCAACGTGTAAATTCAACGACCACATTATTTACTTTGATATGTACTGGTGTGATTCATATGTGTGCAGGGAGACCCAGTGACCAATGCAGAAATTAGGAATTTGTTGAAGTGGCATTTTATTTGGTATCGGACTGGTAAGGGTAGGTGATGTCATGACCATGTGCCCTAGCCCAACACCCATGACAAGGAATTGCTTGCTATTCATGATGCATTCCGATCTTGGCATCACTACATTGAAGGTTCCGGGACCCCAATTGACATCATCACTGATCACCTGGAGTACTTCGGACTTCCACATCAAGCCCACTGGTCAGAGTTCCTTTCTGTCAGGGTCGTGCTGTCAGGGACCGACCCGGGGTCGAGAGCGTCCGGGTATATCGCCTGGGGCTGAGGGCCCGGTAGGGTGTAGCGCAGGCATGCGTAACAACAGGCCTGAAGCAGACAAGGGTCCCTGACCACTTAGGCTAAAGTGGGAAGTGTGAGAAGAAGGTTGCTTCTCAGTTCCCACTTAGGCTGTGTTTATATACATGTAGTTAAGGCCATGTCATCTGCACACACAGCCATGTCTGTCTGGGTATCTCTGCAAGAGATCCCAGGAGCACCCAGTGTGTGGGGGGCCGCCCAGCAGGTCCGGGCGTGTCATACTGCAGCCAGGCCAATGGTACACTGATAGGAGGGAAGTTGTCCGTGTAATAAGTAAGGAAAGAAAGAAAAAGAGAAAGGAGGGAGAAAGAGAGGAAGAGAAAAGGGAAGAGGAAGTAAGGAAGGAGTGGGTAGCGGGGAACTGGGTCAGGTGGGTGACGGGGGACCGGGTCAGCTGGGGCCGGGTCAGGCGGGTGTGCCCTGACATGTGCATGCTTGCAATGAAGAAGGCCCCAGAAATCTAGTTGATATCAAAGCTGGGGGGCATGCCCATGCCAGCACAAGGTCTTATGTACACGATTGAGATGGCAATCAGGCAACTAACTGATAACTGGTAGAAATGGATCAAAGAAGATAGCCGACAGCTGCAGACTGGATCAAACCAGAGATGAAGAAGTGAAAAAGAAGAAGTTGATGGGAATATGGGTCATGTGGCAATGCACTACTTATGCTACCAACTCAAAGGCATGCCCTGACACTTTCCCAATTTCACATGATTGTCCAATTCTGTCCTGGAAGACTTGGAGTATGTCATATCCATCCACAGTCACCACCTTCCATCAACTCCGGCCATCCCAGATTGCCTCTGCTCCTTCATCTCCAACCTCAGAGCCTCTGGATTCTGCAATCCCCTCTGACTCCCTTGATGGTCACCACCCACTCATTTCAATATATTACCTACACCCCCCTAAGTATGGAACTCCGAAGGTTTCCGGACTGCTCCAACATCTGCTAGTGCACCCCTGCCTCCACTGGGTAATTTAGTTGCCTGCCCTGCAAGTCAACCTTTGGACCAATCTCTAGGGCTCCTAGCAGATCGGATAACACTCAGATATCCACAGATTTATCCGAAAATCTGCAGATGCGGATTTGGCTTTTGACAGGATAATATCTGCAGTTTCCAATCGGTGGATCTATTGTCGCTACTGTTCTAGATACCCCTCCTATGTTTCTATATTTTCTTCCAATTTTTTCAAGTCTTATTTGACCACCCAGGCCTGTTATTCCCAAATTAGGCATTTGACCTCCAAGTTTTCCACCATTCTCCCCATATTTCCATCAGTTCTCCACCAATATGGACAAATTTGGGATTGTTAGAAAGCTCTCGTCAAGGACAATTCTGACGAAATGCAACTTTGGAACATTTTATCTACAATCCGTGGTTGATCTGCATATCCGTGGATTTATAACTGCCGGATACAGATTTTATTTCAAACCTCTAAAAATCCATGGATTCTGATCCCGATCCGATCCGATCCGATCTGCTAGGAGCCATACCAATCCCCCCATGCCACTTCTGGGTTATAACCTGTCAATCCATTAAACCCCATAACCTGAGTCATCAGTATAATTCAGTCAGCTAACCTGTAACTCTGTTAGGTCTGCTCCACCCGGCCCTTGCTATTTATGGACCTGCTGCCTAGACTCCCTCTGTAACTATATATACCTAACCTGTAGATATGTTACACCTCAGCAACCAGATCAACTAGAGTTTTCCCCCCTCTTCTAGAGTTCCCTCTCAGTCTGTAAATTAGGGCACCAATGTGTTGCTGGGCACAGTGCTCCTCGCATAAATCACTGAGGCCATAGCCCTCTGATCACAGGGATGCCTCTGTTTGTCCTGAACCTGGTCTCTGACAGAGTAAAACCAGATGCATTGACTAGAACTAGACACTGGGATGTCTATCCCAAAGAAGGGGATTGTCAGGGATGGCTCTGAAGGTGAGGAGGTCCTAGTATAGTGCCAGGTGCTAGGGACTAGAGGGGGAATGAGGCAGTGGTGCATAGTGGTGAACCCAGGTGTGGGTGGACATCCCTGGCCACTCAGTCTGAAGTGGGAACTGTTGAGAAGAAGGCTATTTCTTCAGTTCCCACTTCAGCTGTGTTTATATACATGTGGCTGCAGTCATGTGGGAGGTGCCACATCACCCTTGCACATGGCTGGGTCTCTCTGGGCATCTCCATGGGAGATCCTGAGGGGGTCTGCTGTCAGGTGTGGAGTGGGCACAGTGGTGGTGGTGGTGGTGGTGATGGCTGTGGGGTAGGGTCGTAGGTGTTGGTGGTACATCAATAAAGGGAAAAGTGGTCCATGTAGTAGAGAAACAGAATAAAGAAGGAAAGAGAAAGAAACAGATAAAAGGAAGGGGGAAGTGAAGTGTGTGGGTGTCAGGGTAATAGCCCCAAACCCCAAGTCTTATGTAACAATGGTGTACTTAGAGTCACGTGGTTCAGAAACTTCCAGTTACCACTTAACACTACCATAAAATACACACCATTGTAACACTTACAGACTGGTGTGCTGAGCGACCCCAAAGACCTCACACTTTTTTGAGTGTATGAGGTGTGTTTAAAAGTAAACACAAACCACAAACTCATACCACATCTTTACCATTCTGACTTGGTAGCGCCCATGGTGCCAAAACATGCCTGCAAGGGCAAGGTTGCCTCTGCAGCGATGATAAAAAGAACAAGTGGTTCATAAAGAAA